AAATTGAAATATTTATGGAAATGATTAAAGTTCATTTATTATGATTTAAATATTTATGGAAGATGAATACAGTTCATTAATTATGATTAATRCTTTATATTAGGAAATAATCAAAACCTCTATAAAATCACATATTAATCAAATGAAATGGACGGTTGAGATTGAGTTGTATTTGTTGCACAAATGACAAGGGTTGTATAATAACCAACCTCTATATATATATATATATATATATATATATATATTCTTTATTGTTATTATTATTTAGAAAACGTATACCCAATGATTTCTCCATACCTAATAGTAATATTTATTATTGTTGCAAGTTTTATATGCCCACGACATGTATTACACAATAATACTGACAAAGAGTACGTAAAGGTGTCATCAATGGAATATAAAATCTAGGTTTTTGATCAAACTGTTTACTGTTGTCGCATCCTTATGATGCGATAACTTGGAGTTGTCGCATCTGTGTGATGCAATGACTTAAAGTTATCGCATCCTATTGATGCGATGAATAGTTGTTATCGCATCTTTATGATACGAGGAATATGTAAGGATGCGACAAGTTAACTTATCGCACCAATGTGATGCAACAAGTTAGGTTTATCGCACCAATGTGATGCAACAAGTTGGGTTTATCGCACCAGTGTGATGCGATGAGATGAGGTCCTTGCACCAGTGTGTTGCGAGGAAATGGGGTTATCTCACCCATGTGATACGAGAAAATTACATTTTCATCTATATGATGCGATGAGTTATATCAAAATATGTTAAAAGAGTTATTGGGTTATTTGATGCGATAAATTGGTGATATCTTATCTTTTAGATGCGACAAAAGAGGTTTGTTTCATTAAAATGTGATGGATTTGTTATTATTACAAACATGGGTTTATAAATGTGTTTGGTGATCATTCACCGTGTAATAGCCAATAAAGGGGTCTCTCACTAGACCTCAAGGTCTAGCCCTTATTTTGGTGTTTTAAAAATGTGCATTACAGGTCGGGCATAACTAGAGAATAAAGGGAAAGGAAAACTGTGAAGAGTTATATTTTGTTTGCATAAGATGTTGGGATAACATGTTATCTTTTGTATTTGAATACTTGTTATATATACAAGTTTTGTAAGATTTTATGGAAATTTTTCATAGCTACTTGTAATGTACCTTTTGTAGATATTTTGACCAAATGTGTAAATTTGGATTTCCGCATATGTGATTCTTGGGTGCTACACTAAAGTATGTGTTAAAAATGTAATCATGATAAGTACATGGATTTATATGTAAATGTATTTACATATAATTTTATTATTGTTGGGTCTTATTAAAAATTGTAACCTTCAAAAGTAACCCTATTTAATTTTTAGAAAAAAAAAATTCTAAATTTAAAACCCAAAGCCAGGTCCAAATGAGACATTTAATTAAATTATAACACACCATAGGTGTTTAGGAATGTACCTTTTAGGATCTAGTGAAAAATCTGATGCGGCACTTAGAAACAAAACGCGAATTCCTCTATAGTTGATCCACACACGAACACACATAGATCATCCATCAGGTGCTAGCCCAAAATAACCTTAAGTCTAAATAAATGTATGTGGACTAATTAACCAAATTCAGATTATTGAATTCACACCAACTGAATTGGCCTGACACCCTATCTATAAGAGCCGGTATTATAGTCACCCTATAACTTAAAATAATGTTTGATATTTATCTGTAAATAATTATATAATCATCTAAAACTTTAAAGTTATTTAATTTTTTCCATTAAGTTTTTGAAAAGTTATTTTTTAAATAATAGGAAACCTATAATTGATTACTACTACTATTATTATTCTATTAAATGCTTATCTAAAAAAGGCCCATACATACATACACACATACCCATCCCTTGCTTTCACTTAGAATAATCTAGAATTCATGATGAACTTGTAGAATTCTCAAAGTGTATAACAGAGAGTGACAATATTTGTAGATGTTTCTAGTGGATTTTAGGACAATCCTTCCAAAAAGATGGTCCAAGGTTGTAATCAATACAACTTAATTTTAACTGTCCATTTAATTTTATGAACATGTAATTTCATAAAAATTTTAATTGTTTTTTAATATAAAGTATTGATCATAATTAATGAATTCTAGTTTTCTTCCATAAATATTTAAATCATAAATGGACTCTTATAATTTCCATAAATATTCAAATCGTAAATGGACTCTTATAATTTCCATAAATATCTTAATTGATTGGGTTGCATTAATTGTACAAATGTAATGAATTCCATTTGAAACGACCTCCAGTGATTGTTAGCAATGTTTTTAATTTGTTTTATTTTTATTTTTATAATTATTATTAAAACCTCATGTTGATGGATGTGGATATGTACTCCCTAAAAATCAACACAATATATAAACTTGTGAAATACTTGTCAAAAGGCATGCATTTCTTCACCATACACTTTATCCTTGATGTTATGAAACGATGCGAACACCCATCAAAATCAGGAAAATTCTATAAAATAATGTTATTAAAAAATATTTATTTCTTTTATTAAATATTGTGTAAATTAAATCCTTAAATTATAGCTTGTTTATATGTTGAATAAATAGTCTAGATATCGTTTTACTTTCTTTTATGGTTTAAATGTTAAATGAAAAAATGAGTTTTTGAAAAATTCGATTGAATAAAAAATTATGGATTGCAGAGAGAGTATCAATTTACAAATTAGCTAAATAAAAAAAAGTGCTTGATATGAATTTATTAATAATTTAAATCACAATTAATTAAGCTATTTTTATATATTCATTAGTTCATCCTAAACCTAGATAATAAATAGAAATAACTTGAAATTAGAAATAGATCTGGAATAAGAAATGAAGGGAAAAGCATGAATGCTATGATATGTATTTAATTTAACAGAATGGTACTTACATAATGCAGCGGTATACATATTCATTTTAATGTTTTGTTTTAATTTTTGTTTCTATTGATATAATACAGTTTATATGGTTTTAATAAAGATAATATTTTTACTTCTATCATAAAAATTTGAAAAAGTATATCGATATAGTTATCAAATTAACTATTTAAAAGTTCTTATTTTTTGTACAATTTTCTTAATTTTTAGTATAATTTAATTTAGGTCTAATAGCAAATTAATTTAATTTTGGTTTAACAATATAATTTTTATAAAGATAATGATTCTGTTAGAACTCAATGATTATCATAATTATATTTTAGATTTTTTATATTTAAAATAAAATATTTATCCTATATTTGATTATGTTTATCTACAGTTAGTTATACGAATTAAAAAATAAAATTTTAATAAGTTGTACTTAACCACAATTTACTTATAATTTTAAACTTCAAGTAAATATGCATTAATTTACAGTACTTTATTATGCATAAAAAATAACTTTTAAGATTTTTTTTATAAAATATCTTGTACTATAATATAGATAAGCTATAATATTTAATTATTTATAGTGATATTTTATAAATAAAAAATAAGTGTTCCAAGTCATTTGATTTAACAAGTTGTTCTCCATTTTACGCAAAAGGAAGACGAATGGAACTGAAACAACTTTGTTTGGCCATAAAAAGTACCTAAAAATGTTCCAACCCCTGCAACTTTTCTTAAATATTCGATAGATAACAAATTTACACAATAGACGGTTTCCTTTTACACAACAGTTCTCTCTTCAACCCCCCAAGAACCAGACCACTTCCCCCAATTCACCCTTCATCCCTGACATCAACTCAAAATCAAATAAGTTTCCTTCAATCTCTGCTTCATCTACAAAATCTCCATTCTCTTCTTCATGGGTTTTTCATTTTCTTTCTAGTTCCACAAGCTTCTTGAAAAATATCACCACCTTTATGCACCAATCATCATCATCACCATCTGGATCTGGGTAAAAGAGGGAATCGGGTAAATGGGTGTTCATGTCTCTTGCTGATTCTGTCTAGGGTTACTGATTTAAACCTTTGATCTGTATACCCAATTTTGGCAAAGAAAAAATGCTGCTTTTTTGGTTCTTTTCTTCTTTTGCGACCTACAGAATTAATTGTTTCCATTACTAGAAAACCCTTGATTTGAACGCTGAGTTATTCCTGGTTTTCTTGATAACTTTCACTGGGATTTAGATGAAATATTTCCAAAAATAGTGTATGTTGTGTTGCACTGGAGGTATGATGGCTAGGGAAAAAGTACAGATTAAAAAAATTGATAATGCAACAGCAAGAAGGGTGACTTTCTCCAAGAGAAGAAGAGGCTTATTCAAGAAAGCTGAAGAGCTTTCTGTACTTTGTGATGCTGATGTTGCTGTCATCCTCTTCTCCTCCAATGACAAGCTCTTTCACTATTCCAGCTCCAGGTATGTATTTAGGGTTATGTATGTGTTTTTTATGTGTGTCAGTGTGTGCTTTCTTGGATATCTCTCTCATATGATTCTTTGTATATTGCTTCTTTTTCTTGTGCTGTAGGGTTTATCATGAACTTCAGCAATTAGGGTGGTTTTACATGTGTTTTTGCTTGTTTAGTTGGGTTATTTGAATCTTTTGCTTATAATCTGATTATCCACAAGCTATTATATAGTCTTGAATATGGGACTGAGTACTGTGTAGGTTTGTACTTCATGCTTAATTGCTTGTACGGTACCGATTCAATGAAAGTTTGATCTTATGGCCACTCTTTTTCTTCACCTTTTTCTTGGAAATTGTTTGCTATGAGATTGTTGTTATGATTTCGTTGTGAAAAGCTGAACAGGAAAAAGGATGCTCAAAGAGGGTTGAGGAGGAAGTCTTTGCATTCAGTCTTTCTTTTGCTTACATACAGAACAGATTAATTTTGTGATTCCATTATGTTCTGAGCATATGGTGCTTAAAGGCTCTTTGCCTTTGTGAGGGTTGAGAAGGGGGGTCTAACAGCGATCCATTTATTTGCGTTTTGCAAGGGTAAAACCGTTAATTTCTTTAACTCGTGACTGCAGTAAAAAGGAACTCAAATTGGAGGTCGAATAGAGTTAGGTTAGTTTAGGCAAGACTTAGAAGAACCAAACTCCTTCACATGGTCACATGTTATGTATGTATATGTATTCTTTGTTAGGTTGCAGTTATATTAAGTGTTTGAAACGTATTTCTTTTGTTATTGACATGTGTACCCAACGATATGAGAAGTTCTTTTGGTTTTAGTTTATGGTTAGCTTGAGGGTGGTAGACGAGATGAAGGGAGTTAGAAAGGTTGATGGAGGGATGCGGGGCGGGTTAGAAAGTTGTCAAATAGGTTACCAACGATGGATAGAGGGCCGTTTGTTTCTCCTTACCGTTTTTATGTTTCATTGTACCTTCTTCTCCTTTTGTTGCTTTCTATATAGTATCTTTGTTTCTTCTTACCTTTTGCTCAACACTCACGCACAAGCCGGGGATTTTCACAGAAACAGTTGCTCTACCCTTTTAGGGTGGAGGACATGCATGTTTCCCAACCCCAAGACCCTACTTTTCAAATAGGATATATATTGGCTTTGTTTGGCTTGCTTTGGTTTAGTTCATGTAGATTGTAAATCCATTATAATGTCCCAAACTTGACTGAAGCACACTATGCAAGTACAAAGTTTCTTAAAAACCAATTGTAAAGGCTACAAACAACCTCGCAAATTTAGTATTCCCTTCGTTCCATGCCCGATAAAGAAACATTTGAGGACTTAATCTTGTGGGTGCATAGCGTGAATGAGTAAGAACTAAGAAATTTAGTTCTTGTGGGACGGAAGGTGTAGATAAGAAGCTAAAGAATGCTGCAACTTACCCTATAAACGACCCAAAATCCTAGAATTTCTATCTTCATAACAACATGAGGAACACAAACACTTGTATACCGGACCTAACAAAACATTGACAGGGTAACTTAACCAACACAAGTTTTAATATCAGAAAATGAGTTACTGTGCACTACATCTGGACGTCTTTGACCATACCACGATGTGCAGATCTAGATATTTAGAAGCAACAATTGTATTTATCGTTTAATTACTTGAAGTTGCTCCACCTATGAACATGTAATAAAACTGATGTAGTGATCAGTTCTATTTTTAACTTGATTGTTTGTTTAAAGGTTCTTTGAGATAATGATATAGTAATGATTGATGATTGTAAAACATTGATCACAACAGATGCTTGTGTTGTAGCATAGCCTCGGTATGTCCATTAGTTGTACTTTAACATGCTTGTCTTTCTGACATCTCTTGCAGTATGAAAGAAGTACTTGAAAGACGTAGCTTGCACTCGAGAAATCTTGAGAAGCTAAACCAACCTTCTCTTGAGTTGCAGGTCCTCAGCTTAGTTTTTGGTTTCTTGCTCTGTCACTACAATTATTTATTTATTCCTTCTCTTTTCTTAATCAAGTCTTTGAGCAACAAATAAGGTTGTGACCATGGTTGAACCACCGAAATGGTCTTTTGCAAAACACAAGTGAAAGGCTTCCCTCCACAACTGTCACCAATTAACTGGAGGAGTCTTGGTGTATCGTGGATGCCAGACTTTTTCAGTTTTTATAGAGTTTTGGCTACTAAGAAGGTCTCTAGATTGTAGCCCGACCTTGATTTTGCTTCTTTCTTTCACAACGTCGTCTCATGATATGATGGGCAAGTCCTAAATCTAGAAGTTTACATGGTTTTAGATTGGATTTTGATAATTGTCATTTGGATTTCGAACAATCAATAAGGGATTTGAATTCCTTTTTTGTTCGAATGCAAACTATGTTCAAATATTTCATTTTGTTTTGCAGCTGGTTGAAGACACCAACTATGCCAACTTAAGCAAAGAAGTTGCAGAGAGAACCCTAGAACTAAGGTACACACACAGATATATATATATATATATATGTATGTATGTATGTATGTATGTATGAATGTATTCTCTGTGTATATATCTGTATGTTATTCGGATCTTGGATTGATTCCTTTTGAAGCAGACGGTTGAGAGGGGAGGAGCTGCAGGGTTTAGGTATCGAAGAGCTGCACCAACTCGAGAAGTCACTTGAAGCTGGATTGAGCCGTGTTGTAGCAAAAAAGGTGTGGTTGCTTGCTTTCTGTTACTTGTTACTTCGCCATTCATGAATTTTAATTTATATTTGATCAACAGTCAAACACTTACTATAACCTATATATATATATATATATATCCAATAAATTGTTGCAACTTTCACCAGCAAATACTTTCTCCCTCTGTAAAAAATCGAAACAATACCATTCGAACCGCATCTTGGATTTGCAAATGCATAAAAGTTGGAACAAAAATCTCTTTGTGGCCACGGAGGTTCAAATACGGCGACTCCGGACTACCTGCAAAGCAGGTTGTCGTCCTGGGATTAGTCGGCTCGCGTAGCGGGTTGGATATCCAGGTTAATAAAAAAAAAGTGGAACATCTTTTATGGAAAGAAAAGAAAAATCAATTACATTGCAGCTTTTTAGGTGAATAGCCTTTTGACACTTTTTTTGAACATTCTTGTTGGTTGGAAGGTGATGCATTTACAAATAATCTTGTTATTTTTCCAGGGTGAGGCGATCATGAATGAGATTAATCATCTTCAAGAGAAGGTCAGAACTCGAACTTCATGATTCCACTTTTTCGCTACTTAACAATATACAGACTACGAGCATAATAAGTGGTCATGAAGCAAGCGTATTACGCCTTTTGGCATTGCAAAAGATATATTGTTATTGTAGTACTTTAACGTCGATCCTGCTAATTTGTTAAAGATTGGTAAAACATGCAGGAAGTGAAACTCATGGAAGAGAACGACAAGCTAAGACAAGAAGTACGCTCCCTAATCTTTCTTTCCGTTTAATTTCTACTCCACTAAAACAACGACGACCTTTGCTTTAGCAAGTTTGGTCTCTTTTTTTGTTTATTAAGATCATTAAATGTCTTGCTTTAGCAAGCTTGGTCTCTTTCTTTGTCGCTGTATACGTGTTTTTCCTGACTTGCATTCATTTGAACGACGGAATTATGAAGCTTCTGAAAATATCAAGTGCTCAGAAACCAGGTGTTGGTCATGACTCCGGTGACTCTGGGGAATCATCGGAGTCTACCAATATCTGCAACTCCGCTGGTCCTCCACAAGATTACGAAAGCTCTGGTACATCCCTCAAGCTCGGGTGAGTACATCCTTGCTTTTGAAATTACCTTTAAATCGTTGTATATATTTTCACATATTCTTCAACCACCGGTCGAAATAATTATATCAGTTACATCCATTACAACAAAATCGGTTTATAGGACAACAAAAGTGTTTTAAGTTCATTAAACCAAACACTTGTGTGTGCGGTGTTGTAACGAGTTTATACAACGTTTTTGGACGTCTTGCCAAACTTTTTATAACACTTTTGAAATAAAGTGTATTTATTAACCCTTTACAGGACACTTTCCAAAATGCTGTATTAAACACGTATTTTATAGGACAGATTTTTTTCCTTCAAATAGTGTCATATAAAAAAGGGCTAATTGGACACTTTGCTTCATAAGTGTTCTAAAAAGATTGTTAAGCCGTCCAAAAACGTTGTATAAACTTATTACAACATTCCTAGGTAGGACCCACAAGTGTGTGGTCCTATAAACTTAAGTCTTGTAAAGTAATATATTATGACACTTGGATATTTTTTTTGTATCCTATAAACCCGAATTTGTTGTAGTGATCATCTGGTTTTTTTAACGACCATTTGGTTTGGTTGGGCAGGTTACCTTATTCAGGATGGATATGAAAGCTTACATATAGTATGTAAATGGAAGCCAATTAGTATCGTTAAAAATGGTTTCTTTTAGCCCCCCATATAAACATTTGGGGTTAATTAGTTGGATGTACTCAATTACTCCTTCCTGCGAAATAAAATTAAAGAAAAATACGTTGCAATCTATTAGTAGTTGTATAAAATGTCACCAATACTTTTCAAGGAGTATTTGGGAAGTTTCATTGATGTTCTAAGACATGTATTTTAGATAAATATTGTTGTTTAATATTATGTGTGAAACTTGTATTACTTGGAGTTGGAGGGTATAAAAATCTGAAATTATCTGGTTCTTTGCATTAGTCGTTCTTCTATTTTCACAAATTTGATCGTAATGTGTAAAAAAAATTCCGTAAGTACATCATCGGAAGCTTTTATAGTCTTAGCAGAATAATTTGAGTTTGACAACAATGCATCGGGCGGGTTTAAGAGAGAATACTAAAAAAATGAGAACAATGGAAACGTCGATACTATCCAGAATAATAATGACGATTACATCTTGCTAAAAAAGTAACGAACCTTGATATATGAAATGATATTGTATGAACACGATATATTTATGTATAAAAATGAATTTATGAAATCATAATATTTATTAGTTTTATATTTGATTTGTTTTCTTTTATACATAATTCAAAAATAAGAACCACAAGGTGGTGACCGGTGAGTTTGAGTTCGGCTTCAAAAGTTAAAAGTACCTGAAGATTGCATGTTCAATTTCAAGGAGGATTGAAAATCCCCTTCTGGCTACGGATGTTCAAATGCGGTGACTCCGGGTTATTCGCAAAACAGGTGGTCGTTTTGGGATTAGTCGGCTCAAATAGCAGGTTGGATATTCAGGTTAATAAAAAAATAGTTAAAAAATAATAAACAAATTTCAGTTTTTTGGTTTAAAGTTACGAAAAAGGGTGGATTAGTGGAGGGCCCACCACGTACACAGAAATCCTTCAAATTTGGCGGGGGCTTGATAACCGAATGGTTCTGCTTGAGACCTGTTCCTCTTAAACGACGCCCGACGATATCTCCTTCATCCTTTCTCTCTCAATCTCATCTATTCTTCTGCTTCGATTAAAATCACTCCATCTTATCAGATGTTCTGTTAACCTAATCGAATCGCCATGGATGAAGAATACGACGTCATAGTTCTCGGCACCGGTCTCAAGGAATGCATTCTTAGTGGTCTCCTCTCCGTTGATGGCCTCAAAGTATACCCTCTCTGAACTTATTTGTTTGTGTATATCGTGTATATGTTCAATTACTCACACAGATTTGTTTATGATAGAAATGATCGAATCTGTTTTGATTAATGTCGATCTAGCTACTCGTCGTTGAAAATTTTGATTCGGACTTTCAGAACTTTTTTTATTGATGCCGACTTACCTGAAAAGAATGAAAGGAATTGGTCTGATATTGGGGTTTCAGGTTCATGCTATAGGATTTGCACAACTTCGAGTTTTGTGCTCAGATAAACTTTACCGAGTGCAATTAGGATGTCTCAACTCACATTCTGAGAAATTCCAAAAAGAGAAAGATGCACATTGCACATTGCACATTGTACAGCAGCAGAGCCGTTAAGGATTGAACTATAACGTATTGGACCATAAAGCAGTCACTTGTAACGACACAAAGAATTGAAATCGAGATTCACCCAATTTTGGCTAGGTTCCCAAACAGTAACGCTTTTTCTGGAAGTTCCACTAAAATTAAAAGAGATGTTACAAATTTCGACCTTCAAGATCTAACGGAGAAATTAAAAGCTCCTTATATTTTTCCTCTATGCACACACTATGTTTTGTTTTGGATATTTATCATATATGCAATTTCTCACATTGGACTAATAATGAGATATATATATATATACACACACATATATTAAAGCAATAGCTCCCAGAAATGATTATTGACTCGATGTACAACTTATCTTTGTAAAGTAATAAATCCCTTCTGTGTGTGACTTCCTTATTCTCAAATACCAAAATCTCTAACCTTACTCCCGGACTCGATGAAAAACCACTTCTGGGACATAGCATCAAACTTGTTTGATCCTCCTTGTCAACTAAAGCATTGCAGTACACTTGGACACCTTCAATCAGGAATAACTTATTTTTATTACTTGCCCAAATCTACTTGAACTAGCAAGTTCAGATATATTTTCTCTTGTTAACCAAATTTCAGAGGTGACCTAACAAATAGCTAAAGTTCTTTTTTCTAACCAAATCTTCAAAGGGTGACAAGTATAGCTAGACTTCATAAACCAACTTCGGATCAGTTTTAGTTAGGCATGGGTTTGGGAATTTGGTTCAATTTTGTTGTATCAGCTTAATGGTTGGGTTTTGATTATAGTTTCAGTTATGGGTTGCTTCTCAAGGGTCGTTGTGATTCAGTTTCTTAAGGTTTGGCTTTGGTTTTTCTTTCTTTTTCTCGATTCCCCATTTAAAGCTAAATGGGATGTAATCCATATGCACCTCATGGACTGTTGATTAAAGATGTTACTCTTCTCCATTGTTTGTCTGTTGTAAGAATAGTTAGAAGTTAGATTGACCTTCACTGTTTCTGTCTGTGTTTTGAGCAATTTCACACCCCAAAATCCTGAGAGCACCAAATATACACCAGTCGGAAATGCCAGGATAGTTGTTTAGATTTTTTAGGAAGCTTTCTTGTCTGAGCACTAGAATATATTGTTTTTATTTTGATTACACGTATAATGATTAGTCACTCGTAAGAAAGACAAATGCTGATCTTATACAATCATTACTTGTCCTATTGTACAGGTACTACACATGGATAGAAATGATTACTATGGAGGAGAGTCAACTTCACTAAACCTAAACCAGGTATTATAGCTGAATAAATCATATAAAATTCTTACTATTATAGTATTATTTTTGCTACCCATTTGACATTAATATACAAATCTGTATAGCTCTGGAAGCGATTCAAGGGCAGTGATTCGCCTCCTGCAGAACTAGGTGCAAGCAGAGACTACAATGTCGATATGATCCCCAAGGCATGTCTAGTTTTCCTTTGAAAAGGAAATTAATACATATTATGAATGATTGTCTTGAATTTGTGTGAAATTGCTAATTGAGTTCTCATTGATTTCTCATTCTACAAGGTCAGTGAATTGTCTGACTTCAACAAGTTAAGAAGTTATTAATCTTAATTACGCACAAAAAGTAATCAAGTTCCCTTTTGAAGTATTTGGATGGTGAACTTTTCAAGTTAGTCTGGCATCAAGTCTAGAAGGTGCATTTAATTTTAGGAAGTGTTAAAACTGTGTGACATTGTTTGTGGATGTTCCATATCTGCCGTACTTCTGCAACCAAGTCCAAACTTGCTAAAACAGAGAATTATGATTACGAAAAGTTACTCACAGATATGCAGCAAAAATGGTGCTAATTTAGCAGATATAGTGCTAATTTAATGGCACTTTCCCAACCCGTGATAGCCAGCAAAAAGATCTGATACACACACATACTGCAGTAAAGCTGTCCATCTATCTAGACACCTTAGCCTCTCTGCCTACAGTCTAGGATGATGGATGCCTTATTCTTGTCTTATTCTACAAGGTAGAACTGCAATGATACGGAATCATGCCATAAGATAAAGAACATCATGGTGAACTCATGATACATGGTTATAGTCCTTTGTGCTTATGCTGACTCTGTTGATACCAAATTTTCTCCGTTCAATGTACATCTGATTTTACTTCTCTAAATGCTACAACTACTATTAGTGTTATTATCATTTATATAGCTATTAAAAGCTCATTGCATCACATTTATCTCTTATTTTTCATCATTACGTGTGCGCTTTTGCAGTTCATGATGGCTAATGGTGCCTTAGTTCGTGTTCTAATTCACACTAGTGTCACAAAGTACCTTAATTTCAAGGCTGTTGATGGTAGCTTTGTGTACAACAAAGGAAAGGTATGAAATCCCCTAAGCTTACAATGAGCAATTATTCTAACCTTCAACTTATAACTATTATCTTTGAAAAATCGGGATTTTCGTTTAGATTCACAAAGTGCCAGCAACTGATGTTGAAGCACTTAAATCCCCTCTCATGGGATTATTCGAGAAGCGCCGTGCTCGGAAGTTCTTCATTTATGTTCAGGATTATGATGATAATGATCCAAAATCACATGAAGGGCTGGATCTCACCAAAGTACCTGCAAGAGATGTTCTCTCGTACTATCTTATCCTATTCTCTTTTTTCATTGGTTGCATGATATATACCTGCTTAGGTTAATAAATGATGTTTTCTGAAAGAATGTAACACAACAGATGGTTTATTAAATTATGTTCATGAAGGACAAACTTCAGATGATCTAAATTACAATATACCCTCGGTTTTTAAGGCCAAGAATAGGAAATTCTCTTGACGCTGTCTGCTCCGATGAACTATTTATTTCACATAACTTGCGCAGAGGGATGCAAATCTTTACTGCTTAACACCTTTGTCAAATAAAATTTCTGGTTATCTTTGACCTTCTATTAGTAGAATTTGTCAAAAAATGACGCTGTGGCAGTAGTTCGCGTTTACTTCAGTCCTGCATGAGGCATCCAGAGATATAGTTCACATGGAATTTATATGTTTCACTCTGTCAATATATAATGAAATGAAGTACCAGTTGTTCATTAGACAAGATGTACTTCCATTCTCTAGTGACCATGTTTGTTCATGTCAACTAAATACTTGTGGATAATTACGTCCTTTAACGAATGGGATTTTGCATGGAGTTGACAAGCATGGTTTCATGCATCATAATTTCTAGATTCTTATGTAACAAATATCCATGCTCCCAAATAGCCTGTCTCTGCCTGTTCATAATATATTACAGTCATTGCTTCAATGGAATTTTTGTACTGCTCTACTTTATCCCGCTCATGTTTCTTTCTTTCACTTGGCATATCTCCAAGTCATCCCATATTTCATACAAAGGGATCATAATATGTGTTTACCTAATATGTATAAGAACAAATAACTTGTTTGAATTACTACAATGATATATAAACTTGAACAAGGATTTGAGGATATGTCAAACCAAATCCTGTTAGATTCTTCCTACTTCCCATCTACGAAGTTAGTTCATCTTATATTGCTCATGGAGACGAAGTTTTCTTCACATTATTCTTTTGCTCTGAATCTACTCAAAGAAATGAAGAAAACGCCTTTTTAGGAAATTGGATGGTTCTTAGTGAAATCATGATGTCGTCATTCTTTCTAGCTCTCCACAAATATCAGGACTGTATGCTAGATTGTAGAAGATGTTACAGGATACAATGAGGTACTAGGACAAATAGATAACTCTACAAATTCCTAGTGAATTCGGCAGTCTTCAGGTTCTTTGTTGGAACTCCAGTAGGCATCAGCTATGCAGCTAAGAGGTCTTGATGTCGATAAACATCATTTCAAACAAGCAGCCTGTGACATTATGCTATCCATGCTCCCTATGTGACTTGCAAAGAACACTTTTTAAGATGATATCACTGGTGCTTCTCATAAAGGTTTGGGGTTTGAATGGATACTTTATGATGCCAAAACCCATGATATGGACTCATGGCTCAGAATATTACATAATGGAAACTGTAGATAACTAATAAAAGAAACCCAACAGAGAAAAAAGAATAAATATACTCACACTCTCAAGTTGGAGCATAGATATCGTCATGGCCAATTTACAGCTTATAGATCGATTTGGGTCTTCCATAAAGGTTCATCAAGAAATCAGTTGACTGGTAATCTTCCAAGCACAATGCCATCTTTGTAAACAACAAAAATAACTCGCTCACCTAAAAAAAAATTAACACGGAACAATCATTGTCATTTTTGGGTTACCTAAATGTTGGAGGACCTATGTAGAATGCTCAAACCGAGCATTGAGATTTGAGACTGCCTGCAACTTATTAAGATCTTCTAAGTTGGCAGATGATGCAAGACAACTCGTCAACCATAAACCTTAGAGATTGATCCAAATATATCTTGCCCTCAAGGAAGTTATTAACATTTTTTAACCATTGAAGAAGCAAATGGTAAATAGCTGCAGGGAAATACAAGCCGTCTTAGCCACAGTCCCCTCGTAGTCGATGTCATAACTGTGGCAGGGATAAGGGCATCTAGAGGATCACACTGGGTATTGGGTTGAGTATCTGACTGTATATCTAATAAAATTTATGGTTGTACTTGCATTCCTTGCAGCAGTATAAACCACTGCCCTATTCATCAGTTACGTATAATCTTTAAAAATGGCTTCTTGAGGAGGTATATTTGGTTTTTTTGTAGTTGAGGAAGGTGCCTGATTACTGATACAAGAAAGGTCTGTGACATGAGTATCTTGCCCTTCAGTGACAAAAGGTCAGTACAGGGGATGCAATCTATATTACCTAGCAAAGCAATAGAGAACAGAGATGCAGCCTAGGAATGCGATTGATAAAGCATCAGAGAGTAATGGTGGCAGAGAAGTCCCTGAGGAAGCGATTGGTAGCCGTGACAAGCCTGATGAAGCTCTGGTCAATCAGTGGTAGCTGCAGTTCGTATGTTGGGGGGCATACATATATAAGGGGATAAGGTTTTGATTATCAGAGTCTCAACTTTGATACCATGAGGCAGACCTCCCTATAAATAGTGTGCATTAGGTGTTTATGTGGGATGAATAATACATAAAGAAATCTTTATACAAAGGAACATAAAATTGGCATCCCCACCGGCCGTGGCTTTAGCCTAGCAGATAAGGAGGTGGGCATCCTTGCAGAATGAGTGCGAGTTCGACTCCAGGCACCACTCACCTGCCCCTGGGACACGATTTACCTCATGATGGCCTTGAGGCTGGTATTGTGGGGCGCTCCAGAGGGTGGTGTCATACCCTTTTTGCACACCATAAAATTGGCAACCTAATAAAGAGTACAGAAAACCATATAAACCAACATCCTTTGAGCATTCTGTTTGGACAACACAGCTTAAATCTTTGATCTTATTGCATGTTAATTTTTTCCATGGTAATCAGGTGGATTTGTTGCTTTTTAATTGTTAGCTGATATTATTTTTTTGATTAAAAAACAAAGATGATTCAATGGTTTTCGTCTCAACACTTTAGCTCAACTGCTAAATATGAACAGCTACACTTTAGCTCTATTTGTTAAGTCAGCATGTACGGATATATTAAGTATTGCACAAAAGGAAGAATATCCATTCCCTCAGTTTACTCTCACATATACAAGAATGTTAACCGAAGGAATATGTTATTTGCTGATTCACTCAGGAGAGAAACAGTAGTTGAAAAGAGAATCAGTTATTTAACTCCATTACTGCTAATTTTGGTTGTTTGACTTGTTTTATGTAGGAAAAAATATGGACTAGATGATAATACAATTGATTTCATTGGGCATGCATTGGCACTCTATAGGGACGACAAATATTTGGACCAACCAGCTGTAGATTTTATCAAGAAAGTTAAGGTTAGAAATCCAACATGAAGGCATGAAATTTTTTTCTCAGTTTGATACCTGAACTTCTTTAGTTCTTTATTATAATTGTCCATGTTGTGTGTTAGCAATTAGTGATGTAAGACTACCTTATTTTCAGTTCATGATTTTTGTCCACAAGATATCTTATATACTCATCATCTGATAGTAATTTAGACATTCTACTTTTCTAAAGTACGTGCTCTATTTAACATCACAACTGTTATGGACAAATTGACCAATGATGATTAGATATATGTAATTACCTAAAAGGTCCACATTTTTGAAAAGTAGCATCCATTTAACAAAATAGGGGAGCAATATCTAATGTTAGAATGTTGCAATTTAAATCTATATAAATTTTTTAAATTTTGCGTTGACATTTTAAAGAACACTAGTTAGCCTTTGGTCTATATGGACGGGTTCCTAGTCTGCAAGATTTCTCAAAAGAAAAAAACACTGCACTCTGTTTGTAGCCAAAATATCTTTTAGCTGCATCTGTCCTCATCAATTGCAATATATGGTTCACATTTTAGTAGTGTTACAAAGTCATGACTCATGAGGGTATAAATACCCCTTTGATCTAGCATTATTGGTATTAATTTCCTGATTGCTTATGGTTATAGCTGATTCACCTTTTATTCCTCGAATAGCTTTATGCAGAATCACTAGCTCGGTTTGCAGGAGGTTCCCCATATATTTACCCCCTATATGGACTAGGAGAATTACCTCAGGTACAATTCCATTGGCAGCATTTATCTAGTTTGGTACCTTATCTATTTAACTTTATCTGTTAAATTTGCCAGGCATTTGCTCGCCTGAGTGCAGTATATGGAGGCACCTACATGCTCAACAAACCAGAATGCAAGGTAATCCATTAATATCATTGTACTAGAGTAATCTAAAATCCTTTTTACTGTACTTGAGGTTAAACAGTGATTATGGTCCACTTCTGTCACACAGGAAATCATTAGATTGATATGTAATGCTAACTTGTAGCATCAACAGTTTTTCTAGTTAATCTGATAAGAAGGATGCCTAATCTCAGCTTGATTAACAGTGTTCAAAGATGGGCAGGGTGAAAGTTCCTATCCTAAGAAATTTAATGTAAAAAAATGTTTTAAGAAAGATGCAACCTTTTCAACAGTTTGGATGGTCAAATCTGAAATGATAATGCTCTAGTGGCTTGTTTCTCATGCATAGAAAGTTGGATCTTGTTCCGGATTTCGCCATTTCTGCTTTAGAAAGAAAAGGGCCCTTCATTAGATGCATAAGCAAAGTGGTATAATAGCACCTGTCTCGAATTTTTCTTTTCTTTTGGTTATAACAAATTATGGCATTTACTGAAGGTTTAGGATCAAACTAGAATCAGGATCAAAGGTGGTCAAATAGCCACACATTGTAATGCAAGATACGCGATGCATATCATCAAAGACACCTGCTATGATAAGTTTACTCAGATGACTATTAATATGACAGGTAGAGTTTCAAGATGGGAAGGTATTTGGTGTGACATCAGAAGGAGAAACTGCTAAGTGCAAAAAAGTAGTGTGTGATCCATCATATTTGCCTGACAAGGTAAACTATCTGCAAAATTTTAATTTACTAGCCTTTTAATTTTCTCGTTATTAAATTCCCAATTCTGTTTATTGCAACAGGTAAAGAAGGTTGGTAAAGTAGCTCGTGCTATATGCATCATGAGCCATCCCATCCCAAACACTAATGATGCTCATTCAACCCAAGTTATCCTGCCCCAGAAACAGCTAGGCCGCAAATCTGACATGTATGTATTCCAAGATTTACATTTTTAACCTTCAATGGAACTAAATAAATGTGTCTATTACAAGATTTACATTTTTACAAAGAGTTGACTGCACAGTCTACATAGTAGCACTAAAGTAGTGAAAACTTGTAATGGAATCAGCCCATAGTTAGCATTCCATGATACCTGATGCTGTTATTTAATCTATTTGCAGGTATCTGTTCTGCTGCTCATATTCTCACAATGTAGCCCCGAAAGGTAAATACATTGCTTTTGTGACAACAGAGGCAGAGACGGATAGTCCTGAGCAGGAACTGAAGCCTGGGATAGAGTTGCTTGGACCTGTGGACCAGATCTTCTTTGATGCTTATGACAGATATGAACCCACTAACCAGGGTGCAGAAGATCACTGTTTCATATCTACTGTGAGTATATCTATTTTACAAGCTTATCCTTAAAGTTAAGGACTCTTTTTTTTTTTTTTGTTGAAACTTTTCATCACCAGTTCTCCGATCTCCACTGTGTGTATTGGGATCAGGATTCTGAGACAACAAATAGTTTTTCTAACTAATGAATGTTTGTCATGCTAAAACATTTCATAATAAGTTTATTCTAGAAGACCCAAAAAAGCTTCCTATTGGTGAACCTTTTCCTGTCATTCCACAGATGCATTCTGGCATTTCACTGAGCAATATAAAAAGAGATCCAACCGCTTAATCAGGCACAATGCGGTTTAATGTTACAAGTTTCTAAACAAATGCACTAAGATAGATTATATCACATATAAATGGACCCACCTTTTGTTACTTGAGATGTCATTTGATTCTTATCATAAAGTTGTTGTCTCCTCCAGAGTTATGATGCAACGACACATTTTGAGACTACAGTACAAGATGTGATTGCAATGTACAGCCAAATAACCGGAAAGGTAAACTTTAATACCAGATATTGTTTTGATCTTTACTATACATTTTCTTACAATTGAATCCGGTATTTGATGGTGTAATATGACAGACTCTTGACTTGAGTGTGGACCTTAGTGCTGCAAGTGCTTCCAACGAAGAGTAGCAATAACAAGAGTCTGGCATTCTATCTCTGACTTAACAGGAGTTTCAAGACAAAAACGAGTCATGCTCTCCTATCTTGGTGTTTTTCCCTTCTCATTACATACAGGACCAGATGGTACACCTCAGCAGGATGCTGTAATTTCCGTAGTTGGTTATTAGCGTGTATTTTGATTTGCTTAAGGGCAGCTTTTTGAATCAATAAATTTAGGCGATTTCTTTGATAGAAGAAATGCATCCCAAGAACGTTTACTCTCTTTCAATCTTTGGAGGTTACTTTGAATCCTTTCTATTGCAATATCTTTAATAACATCTGGTGGTGCCTTTCTGAGAAAGAAGGGCTTGGAACACCAGGAGAGCTCACTATACGTTGGCCGAATTCATGCAACAACAGGACTTAGGGCTTTACTCTTTAGCGGATTACACCTAAATAAATCCGTGCAAATTTTGGCCTAATTATAGAGTTTTGAGCGAAATTTAAAAAAATTTGAGTGTTACGTTAAACTATATGTAACAGCAGCATAACATAGCCATATTGCATCCTGAATACCAAACCATACACAAATGCACAAAGAAAGGCAATCATATGCCCCTCACCCATTTATGAGTCTAAAAACATGTACATACACAAAAGAATTCATTTTGATCCCTGTCACAACCAAACATACTTTTCCCCGAGTAATCCATCACGAATTTTCTACAACAATAAGACTGGGGCTCAAAGGTCATTAGTCGAGGTGTGCGAGAATATGAAGAACCCCAAATTACTTTTTCCAAAAAGCCTTGAGGATGAAAGGGAGGTTCCAACATATATAGAAGAGAAATGATCCAAGTTCAGCCGATGTGGACTCAAACATGCCTCCTCCAACGGAGGCTAGAGGAGGACAGATTGTCTAAAGTGTCGAGAGGACTTGGCGAGTACAAATTACCCCAGGGTGTCGAGTCACTAGAGTGTAGATCTTGGCTCTGATACCATGTGAGAATATACATAGAACCCCATATTACTTTCCAAAAGAGCCGTTAAGAATAGAAGGGAGGTTCCAACATATAGAGGATAAACGGTCCAAGTCTAGCAGATTCAGAACTCCAACAAGGTGCGAGCAAGCTGGCCCGGACACCCATAGTTAACAATAATAAATTCTACAACAATGGCTCAAATATTGCATGAAAAATCTGGTTCTTGTATAAAAAATGTTTATGTGATGCGCATACAGTGACAATTTATGTAATGACCAATAACCATCTATTGTCATTATTATTAGGATTTGGAATTAAAAAAACAAGATTGTAAGCTATTGACATCACATTACAACAAACACAAAATGGTACAATCCAAAGTGCAATTCTTGGAACCCCATTGAATGTTTGCCATACAGATTGTGTTTAAATATACAATATTCTTTTCTTGAGGCATCTCATCAAGAAACCACAGAACAACACAATAAGTAGTAATCCTCAAATCGAGTAGAACTTTTCACAATCACAAAATACCAACTGATTACAACACCCTTCAATTCATTTGTGACCCCCAAATGGACAATATTTCTTTCACACATTTCGTCGAACACCTTCCATGCCTACCGCATAAACACACTAAATTCAAAACTAAAAACACGAAATTGGATCACTACACCTTCGTTTCTTCGTGGAATCACTGGACTACGAATTAGAATATAAAAGTTCTAGTGCTTCTTTCTTCGTCCAGGGAGCTTCTCCGTAGCTAATCTGTATATCCAATAAACCTTTTCCCCCAAATATCATAAACGAAAACAAATAATCAGTATAATAATTGGAGATACATACAGTGATCTTGTAATCGAGAGAGAAAAATGGCGTACCAAAGCGATGACATGAGCGGCAATGAGAACAACAACTACGAAGGGGACAACTTCAAGGATCCATGGCCTAATTAAGTTTGGTTGCTGATCGGGATTCGCCATTGAAATCAAAAAATGGAATTGAGTGAGATTCGTAAAAATGACCCTTTTCCCGAGGATTTTGAAATAGGTTTTCAGGTTACAAGTACAACGGACGTTCTTCCAGGCTTCCGAACAAAATATTTTCAATTACACCCCTTAAGGTTTTATGATTTTCCAACAAATTCACCTTCTACAATCTACACTACCTGTGGCTTTTTCTAGTACATCACCGGGCCTCATCCTAAGCCCAATAGGTTATGAACTGCTGGAATTGCTCCATTTTTTGGCCCAATACATGGGTTTTTTTTTTCTTTTGAGTAATTTACAGTTTCGTCCCCATGGTTATTATACATTTTTATATTTGGTCTTTTAAATGAAATAATTTTACGTATGGTCACTACGGTTTTTTTTGTAACGGATTGGGTCCGTTAACATAACTCAGTTAGATGTTTGTCTATTAAAATACTCAAGGTGTCCCTCACGTTACGAGCATATTTGGTACAAATCTCTAAAGCATTGAAAAAGAACAAAAACTAAATCCCCCCTCCCTCTTCACAAAGGCCCTTCCATCCTCTCTAGTTAAAACCCTAAATCAGCTTTTGCTGCAACTTCACAATCAAAACCTTAAAAATATGTTAATCATAGATGCATATACCAGTTAAATCCAGAAAGAAAAAGTATGACCTACAACCACAACCACGCCCTGAGTCGTGTAATCTTCTGTTTGGTACGCTGATGGACTCGACGACCTGCCACGCAACCTATGTCGCAAAAAAATGGTCGCGGAGACTCTCTGAACTACATAAAACCCTGATTTTTAGGGGGTTTTCTTCATTTTGGCTCTATCTTATATTGGGATACAAGAGCCATACACTCGGCGGAAATTAAATGTATCCTTCAAATGATCCATACGAGATGGGGTAGAATGGTTGTTCCAAAAAATTACCAGTACGAGCAACAACCCTTTGATATCCTATCTGAATGGATGCAACGAACACAGTCTGTTGCCTCCACGGTATCCACTCAAACGTTATGAATCCTCTTAACGTCCTACACGAAGAAAGGAGATCGTGTTCCTTCCCGAATACTAGATATGGTCCCCCAACTCCTTGGAGGAAAGGAAGAACAACAACTTCTTGGGATATAAAGAGAAGGGGAATGCTATGAACAATTCTTACCACCTTTCTCAAAGGCATATATCTCTATTTATATATGTGAAACAATAGTACATATCTCATAGGCATGTGACAGGAAGAGTGGCAAGATGATCTCATATCTTATTTGATCCTTTTCTTTTCCTTTACACAATTTACATACCGACAAGTTACTACTTGTCATGTCTCCATTCTCGTCAAACAAGAATCAGACGGAATCATATTTAACATAATAATTAAATACTTTATTTGATTATTTATCCTTTTTATTCATATATACATTTTTATGTGTGTGACCCAGTAGGACTTTATCACGTTGACAATAATTATAAATCTCACTTTATAATTATAAACGTAGAGGAGCATCTAGAAGTACATGATCGTTATCTAAATGATAATTATTGATGATTCAACTAATCAACAAAATGTGTGATGATTATCGGTTTACACATTTGTCCCTTTGTCCCTAATTTTTATGGGCCCTGGGCGTACGCCCAACCCGCCCTCCCCCGAGAACGATTCTGATTATGGTTATTACTCAAAATTCTAGATGCATAAAAAAAAAAAAAAAAACAAGATGCATAATTAATTATGATTTGCAAAACACCCTATTTAATATTAGGATTTCCATATGCATAAGGAAACGAAATTGAAAACTTAGAAAAAAAATAGAGAATATATCAATTGCTGAATACTAAAAATTGAAAAAAATTCTGAAGTCAACCAAAAAAACCAGAGTTTCCTGTAAGGGTGGAATTCAGCTAAAAAACAAGTCGAGTGTAAAGACGTAATCTTGTGTTCTGCTCAAAAGGTCAAAGTTGATTCAATTTTAAAAAATGGATTATTCTCGAAACATAATTTGACTTTCCCTTGGGTCAAACCATGTTGACTTTTCCACCGATCAAACCCGTAACTTTTTGTGATTCGATCCCCTTAAAGATGTGCACCCATTTCCAAAAGTTGCAACAATATTTTTTTTATTGATCATTTGATACCTTAAGTCACCTCTCTGTTATATTCAAATTGTTGGAATGTTCAAAATGACCAAAATGCTAAGGTTTTGATGTTGTGCCTCAATGAAAAGAGGTTAGAGGATGGGTACAATAAACTTTGGTTTGCTCAGACTATGAAACATATGAGTTAGGACAAAAATACGATGAAGTTAGGCTAATAACATAATACACATTGTTTATCGTTCATTGATGAGCAGACCAACTATCGACTAAGTTTTAAGTAGGTTTTTTACTCATGATTAGACCCAGTTCAGTTTGATGTTCTTACCGGGGATTGACTGATATGAATTGACTTTTTATGTTGATTTGCTTATTGGAAATGCTCAAAGTTGTGAGGCTCTATGTGAAAGACACTCAATCCCCAGAGTTAGGATACAAACAAGAGGTGACTTTAAATGAGTTTTTAAATAGATTCATGACCTTCTATTTGGTATAAGAAAAAATAGGCCAACTAAGACAACTTATACTAGTTGAGTAGCAAATCAGTTTGTGATGTTCAGACATTATCATATTTGTTACCATTGGTTTTTCGTTTTCTTAACTGAGGCAAAAGCTAATGTTTCATATGATTGTTGGAAGTTCCCATTATTTCCCAAATTTTAAATATAATGTGGAATTTTAGTTGCCAAATAATAAAAAGGTATTGTCATGTCATAATTATTAACGCCATATCATTATTTTAGATTTTTTTTTTAAATATGATGTGAAATGCTTACTTGAACCATGTAAACGAGTCTCTTTAATATATGAAAATTTGAGTCCAAACTCTAAAATAGCAATTCTAGAAGTCAGTTTTTCATAATAAAAAATAGACTTTATATTTTAATTAAATAGCCCCTTTTGCAAGCAAAAGAAAAATGGCTCTCACCATCACCTACACCTACACCTACACCTACCGGTAAGATTATCGGTCTTTGTCATTTTCATCCAGTAATCATTTAGTAAACGGCCCTTAAGTGAACAGTGGGTAGCTGAATATAAACATAACAGAGTGTGCAGAGAACTATGTCAACCTTCTAGAACGCTTGCACTTGTGTGCATCTTCCCTGCAATTCAAGGCAGAAAGATATCAAGATATAGTTACAAAGCTATAATAATAATACATTACCATCCAAATTGATTCAACAATCAAATGTTTACAAATTGATTTCCAGCTTTTCGAGTGAGCCGGATTTCTCCAGAAAAGTTCTCCAATTCAACAACACAAAATTGATGCCTAATCACTTCTATCCCCTTCTATTTATAGTTCTAACCAACTTACTTGACTAATTGACCAGCCCTCTATTATCCTTACTATCTATATGTGTAACAATACTCGCCCCTCAAACATCCAACTTGTCCTCAAGGTGGAAAGAAAAAAATAATTCTGGAGTTTTACACTTCTTGGCTTTGTATTTGTTCAGAAATTCGTACTTCGGGTATTCTTGAAATCTTTAGCGCTTGAGAGATAGTTAAAGTCAGTTTTGGGGCTTAAGAGAAGGATATAAATGTGGGTTCCCCGTAGCCTTTGAAGTCCAATAAAATGAATAAACCCCTGATTTTTCTTTGAACATACATATGGTTGTTCCAAAAAAACATACGCAAATGAAGAACCATGGAAAACCGGTGACAGAGGTGGCTGGGATGATGGTGGTAACGGCAAAAACAACATCGGCAACGGTGGTAATGGCGGTGGCGGTGGTAAGCCATGGTTGTTGCCCAACCAAAATCTTCCCATGATGCAATTACTTGTACTCTCTACCATTTGTCGATTGTCAATACAACCTGGAATAGCCTCTTGCATGTTCTTCGTCTCTTCTCTGTCGGAGCCTTCTTTGTTGTCGATTTACTCCTCATCGTTGATTTTGTCTTTGCCTTCCCCTTGTTCTCATAGCAGAATCTTGGGATCTTGAAAATGAAGTGTTGGGATGGGTTTAGCGTTTCAATTTTTGACGGGCTTGATGGAATAGGCGTGGATTCCTTATTTTCCTTCCTTGCTTTTCTCTTCTTGCTCTTCTTCTTCATGAGCCAATTGAGTGGTGTCGTTTGCTTGGATTTTGGATTCCAGATCAAACCTCATATTCGAAATTAAATATGATTTTAGCTTCAGATTCGATCTTTCTCCTTCCTTCTCTCTCTCATCTTGTTTTCTTTTTCTTTTCTGCCTAGACCGTAAGTTCGCGATCTTGATCAATTGATTGTTCTTGGACATAATTCGAGTCTTCTTGAATCGATTCCTTTATGATTTTCCAATCTTCTTGAACTACATCCATGGAAGACTTTATCGAAGTAATATCCTCCATCATCTTTTGCGCCATGACAAGCATGCTCCTGGTCAATTCCAGAATTGACTGCTCTGATACCATTTGATGCAAATTGTTCATCTTTATTCAACAATCAAATGTTTACCAATTGATTTCCAGCTTTTCGAGAGAGCCAGATCTCTCCAAAGAGGTTTTCCTCCAATTACACAATACACAATTGATGCCTAATCACTTCTACCCCCTTCTATTTATGCTTCTAATAACCAACTTACTTGACTAATTGACCAACCCCCTACTATCCCTATTATCTATGTGTAACAACACCCAAGAGATGTTTCATGTTCATTCCTTTTCCGGTTTGTTTTTTGATTGATCTTCAATGGTTGCAATGAGAGAAGGAATAGTGGTGGAGACAAGTCGAGATACTAAAAGGGAGTTCAACTCTACGGGAAACTTAATGGTCGGGACAGAGCGGGAAACTCTACGGGAACATAAACTTTGTTGGGAGGATAGAATATTCTTAAGAAGTATTGGATTCATAACTTGTACTACATTATGATTTCTAGCTAAGGGATTTTCAAATTATATGCATAGAAACGTAGTACCATATGCTTTTTAGGTTGTTTTTAAGACTTTAGTCCTGGTAAGGTAATTGAACTCGTAAGCACTTGCCAAGGTAAGTGTTTAGTAACCAGACCCTTTTTCCAAGTTGCTTGGGTTGGAAACGTATAAAATAACCTCGCATATATATATGAAGCAATATTACCTTCACAACAACAAAGCGAAGAGGTTTTCCCATGGGTGAATTTCATATGAAGAGGTTTTCCCAACAACAATTTCCATCGTGATGTTGGTTTGCCAACCTCAGCAAGCATCTCCTCCTAAATGTGCCAACTGCATATACATAAGAGTATTACTATTAGGAACCCAAGGGCTTCCAACTTAAAACCATTTGGCAATAGGGAAGAAGCCATTCTTGAATCATATCTAAATTATTGAATTAACTCACTCTTTCTATTGCTATCTCCCAATCCATCACATGATGCCCATATTTCTCCCCTAGAGGTGTAAAAGTGCACTAATAGCCAGGTTCTCAGTAGGTGAGTTATTATTGATACGAACACCCAAAACAGACGGTCCCCAGAGATTTTGTCCGAGAAGTTATGTAAAATGACATAGAAGCATGTAAACTAAAAATGTCATGTTTTAACTTATATTCACAAATCACAATCAATCAAGAAGAATCATACCAGCATCATTTTATATCCACCTCTAACTCAATGGAACCTTAACAGAGCTTCAGCAAAGCAATAATTTATATGTAAACCATGTAAAAAGTGCCATAGTCAACAGTAATAACATGCCACCGGAAATGTTTTCTAACATGACGTATGGCGTTGTGTAGCGGTGAGCATCTTTGGTAACAAAGAGATGTCCAATGGCGCAATGAAAATTGAGAAGCTTTTCCAGTTCAATGGCGCAGGTAACACCAAAAAAAACGTACCTGAGGAGGAGTAGGCAAGCAACTGGGTCATCTCGTCGAGAGAGGGGGCAGGCAGCAAGGGCTTTGCATGAGACTCAGGGGCGTGGGCGCTTAGCTGTCTCGTTGAGAGGGGCCAAGATGAGCGAGGCCTGGTGAGCGGTGGTCATTTCGTAGATGAGCTTCTGGAGCTCCAATCGCCAATAAAGCACATTGGGAAAACAGAACATCTATAAGATAGCATAGATATACATGCTACAGTATTTCATACAATATGTAGACAAAAATACAGATTATTAAACGTGGGAATAAAATAAAATATTACAAAAAAGATGATTTTTGAAAATTCTTGATGGAGAGATAATAAATTAATTAAATAGTGAAGTTACATCATCACCATTCAACATGTCTGTGTGCAAGAAATTACGCTACAAAGGTTAAAGAAAATACGACTAACATAACTCATCAACAATGGTTACAATTAAACAACCATAGAGATTTAAGATTCTTCACTCCTTTTTCGATTTAGACAGAGTTTTCTTTCTTTGTCCAAGCATGTATCCATACAAATGCGGGATACCTGCACCAAAGGTTGTAGTTTATATAGGGCTACAATGGATATATTTTCAAAGTATAATCCCTAATAAAAAATAGATTTTTGTGATAAGAAAAAATGAAAGTACAATGTCATAATAAGAAAATTTATGAAAAATAAAGATTAATGACACACAAATCCTATGAAATCCTGCAAAATACCAACAACCCCCCCCCCCCCCCCCCGGTAGGATTTCAAAATCCTACGTTTGTGGGATTTCAAATCCAGGAAATCATTCAAACCAAACATGTGATTGGAATGGTATTCAATTCCAAATCCCTCCAAACCCAATCCAATCCCGCAAACCAAATGGGCCCTAAGATTCCACAGCCCAAAGATCAATTATTACCATCTAGTCAAAACACTAATGGGATTTGTGTAACCAAACACCAAAACAAACAACTCCAATGTAAAATAGTAGAAAGGTGAAGACCTTTTGGTTGTAAAAAGATTTTGAGTTTCCAAAAGTGCAGTATATTTTGCTCAAACACATGAGCATCTTATTACCTGGTATGTAAATCGCAATCACCACAATTGCACCATAGAAATAATCAAATGAAAAGTTCCACTTGTTGGGCATTCTTACTGAATACAATCCAGATTCCTAAACAAAAAGGTCATAGAAATTCAGAGTTCAGATCTCATCTACCATAGTATATGATAGATAATATACATAGATAAACAAAATACAAATTATCATGTAGAGAGATAAGACACTAGTTTACCTTCATAAAAGGTAGGGCATTGTAGATCATACCAATTTCACTAGCGATACCAGTTGGATACAATACCAGAAAAGTACTATACCTGCATTATTTATAACCCAAAATAAAATGGTTGCAAAATTCCATATATTTCCATTCTGAATTCTAATATTATTCATAGGTAAATTTTCATGCTAAATTACACATATATTCATCGCCACCAACAACTGATGGTTTAATGATATCTATGGCCAATGTTGCAATTTTCATACAACAAAGAGAGTGGAAAATTAATAAAATGAAAGACAAGTATTGAGCTCGAAGGTCAAACCTGAGCCATAACAGCCAGTATGGAGCAGAACCGAATGCCTCCTTTGTGCCAAAGAAAGAATACCGAACAATCTAATCATCAAAACATATGTTCAGAATATATATTAATGAATTACTAATACCGACAAAAAGACTACACTTTAGTCTGCAAAAACCACTAACTTTGAAGCAATGGAATCCCTCAGATCTGAAGCAGAGTGTTTTAGATACTGGGTTTGGGACAAGACTTGGAGCCTACTAGCAAAAACCAAAGTTTGGTGCCGACCAAGCTCATGAAATAACAAGCCGATTAGGTCCTTCATGCTCATGCCATCGCCAGCTAACTAGACCAGCCTTCTTGGTCTCAACATGCACGCCACCATGAAATACTACAATCTTATAGCATCCACACCCCCTCTCTATAGCATATAGTCATACAGAAATGTGAAGAATTATCTAAGGAAGAAACCAAAGCCCTAATCTTTGCTTCACTATACTTGTTTTCCCAAAAGTTTTACTCTAGGAAATCTATACCCATTTACACCATATGTAGAGAAAGTAATCATCAAAACTTTGCAAATTTCGTTACACCGGCCAAACCCTGAATTGTAGGCACAACTTTGATTGCTTAAGAAATTGGCAAGAGTTACCTCAGTGATACACCAACTGATGACCAAAGAGCTAACAAGAGGATGTGTTTGTACCTGTCACCATTAACCTTCATCTCTCAGTATAGTTGTACTAAAAAGATAAACCAAAAGGAACGGAAGTAGGTAGGTTTCTAACCTCAGGAAAACTATACAGGATTCCCCACACCACATACAACCTTGAACTTATTTGAGGCAGCGTTGCTGATATTGGGGATCTTACCAAGCCTGTTGATCCCAAAAACAGCATACAAGATAAGAAACCGCTAAATAAATACAGGTAGCCAATTCGAGTTTCCTCAGGGCCACCCGGGATTTTCTTGGTTCCATGGGGTTAGTCAAGGTGTGTGCAACCTGGCCTGGACGCCCATGGTTACCAAAAAATAACACTACTTTTTGAGAAAAATGGTTGTGCAAATGAACGCATAGATTATAGATGAGATGGAACTCACCTACGATACCATGTAGAATCTGTTCCATAGATAAGAAAACAAGAAAAGAAAGGGAAGGAAGTCAAAATACACCCACAATGAATTCATAATCTAAGAACTGCCTATCAATGAATGTTTGCTTGCTGATATAACTTCATGCACAAAATAAGTTGATTAACAGCTAAAATTCTAGAACTTCTACAAGCAATTCGGGACCTGATAAGCATAACCTCATTACATAGCATCATGATATGGAAGGCATACCAACTGGGGTTTCAATAATTAGTTTAACTTAGGATTTACATTCTATGCATCATAACAGGATGATGATGCAACTATAGAATGTATATCCCTGGACCACAATTCAAGTACTTTCGATGTCACTTTTACACAAAAAGTACAATCATTCGAATTTAATCATAGATCAGACCGAGGACAAACTTATTGTGAAAATAGCAGATTGACCCATATGAAACAAAGGGTAAAAACAGCCAGTACCAAATTATTTTAGGAGAAAACAGACTGACCCATATGAAATGAAGGGGGAAAATAAAGATCAAAAGCCAATCATCCAAGCAGATTGTCCTAATTGAGAAAAAAAAAATGAAGAGCTTGCCTCAACTCTCTTTGACAAAGTCGTTAATAAATTTCAGCCATGACCCAATATTTTTCCAAAGATTTCTATTATTGGAAAGCATGAATATAGCGGTAAGAAAGGGGTACTATCTTTCGAAGTTCAAATTTCCCACTAAACAACATCAAGCGGTTTATAAGGAGAATTTTTGGAAGATATATTTCCTACGATAATCGAACAAACCCTTGAATCGTGGAGGGTTTGAGTTTTAGAATACCTCTAGAAAGGCAGCCGATTGAGCCAATAAAAGCGGCTTCTCAATGTTGCTGTAAACGTGTTCGTGCCCTGATTCCTTTAGAGTTTTCAAAGCCAAGAACAATACTTGAAACCTAAAACATCACAGAGAGATGAAGTTTAAGATTATGAAACGAACAACGATTAGAAATAGGATTAGAGTGTAAATCTAAAGTTACCATCCGGCGAAGACAATCCAATTATAAGCGGTGAGATACAATCGCCTAAGAATCGACAAAAATCCCGCCATTGCTGAACTCGTTGTGGGAGTGAGATCCAGAGTAAGAGGGTTGATTACAGACGGTAGGATTAATTGGGTATATTAAATAGGAGAAAAGAAGTTCGTTGAACAAACAGATAGAAATAGAAATGACATTAAATCGATTTAGGTGAGCAGATGGATCCAACATCTGTTACTGGCTTATCACTCACCTTCATATCATTACTGAACCAACTTGACGGCTTCGATGGTTTGATGCAGTATTTTCCCTTTTTTTTTTCTTTTTTTTCTTTTTTTTCCTTTTTACCTTTAAATTAGTTGTGATATATTTCCTAAATATAAGAGAAAAAAAGACTAAATTACAGATTTCGTCCCTGAAAATTGTGGATTGAGTTTTGAGACGAAATAATTATAATCTTAAGGAGGCGTTTGGTTCGTAGAATGGAATTCGATGGAATTAGAATTCATCAAATGAATTTGACTTTGAGAGAATAGAATGAAATCTTATGGAATTTGACCATGTCTTGTGATTGCGTTTGGTTGCATGGAATTGGAATAGGGAAGGAATCTGTAGGAAATGAATTGAAATCCTAGCATATTGCCATGGAATTGTAAAATCTGTGCGTGAATGAATCGACTGAATTGAAAGGATTTCATAGTCTTATTCCATGAACCAAACACTCTATTTGGAATTTGGTCAAATGATTGGACATTCCAATTCCTTTCAATCCCCATGATCCAAACAGCCCCTAACAGTTGTTTCAGTTTTATTAAGAATTGGGTCTCTTACGCAGTCACTCCAACTTTGTTAAATCCGTTGCCATTAAACCCCTCACTGCCTCTCACCTAAGGTGTATTTTCGTCTTTTTAATATATATTTTAAATATACAAGTTATAAACCTTATCTACAGCTGTACAAGCATATATATAAAAGTTAAACTAAAATGAAAAAAAGCAGACTCCCTTCCTCCCTTGACTAGCGTTGTCATCTCTATTTATACCCATTACCACCATCAAACTAACAAATGAATCAATGGTTTTGGACTTTGATTTACCGTTTTGGAGATGAACAAATTAGCTAAAACTTTTAGATATAGGCTTTGAGTTTACTTCTTAATAAATGGAGATATTGGTGGAATATTGTTGCAGAGTAGAGTTCCAGATCCATCTTCATAAATGGAGATGGTGGGTGACATGGAAGGGAGAAACGATCTTATGTATGTTTTTGTTGACAAATAATCTACGTATTTTTGTTTGGCAGATCTTGTATGTGTTTTTGTTGGGCAAGACGGTGGTGCAATGGTGGTTACAAACCGGAGACGAGGGAGGAAGAAGGAAGCTGAGAAGAGGGAGTTCTTGGTGGTGGCACTGGTGGGAGTCTGCCAGTCTAGGACTAGGAGGCGTTGTAGAAGAGTAGGTTTTATTTGGTTTTGTTTTTTTAATTTATTAAATATTTTACATACTTATGCGTATTGCATTGAAATCTGTAGTATAAAAAATCATTAAAGATATATTTAAAATGACTAAAATGTCCTTCATGTGAGCGGCACTTTAGGGATTTAACGACAACAAATTTAACAGAGTTAGAGCAAGGGACCCGGTCTGCAACAAAACTAAAACCATAATAATGATAGTTGTAATTATTTAACCTGAAGGATCCAATCCATAGTTTTTATATAACCACAGGGAGGAAATCTATAATTTACTCGATGAAAAATAAATTTTGTTACTAAAACAAGTTTCACGTTCAAAATGATAAAAAGTAGGTCGTACAATGTCCTTTTTATTTTAAGATTATTATTAAATTTCGAATAAATTCTACAATTACATAAATTAAATCAAACGACCTTAGAAAATTTTAAATAGAGCAAAGTACGAGGATGGTAATATATATGCAAATTAGACAAAAGTTACTTCATGTTACCCTGTAAAGAGCCATATTTACATTAGGGATGGTAATGGGAAGGGGATGGGTCCCCGATCTTTGTCCCTGTCCCCGTCCCCGTCCCCAATCCCACCTCACTTTTTTTTTCATGTTTGTGTAAAAAAAAATTAAATCAAATGTATGAGACGTTACACATGTTTAAATCTCACATTTTCCCAATAAAACTAAAATCAAAAGAAATTTAATTTAATACAAAAATATGCATCATCATATAATAATTAATAAATCGAAAACAAAAAAATTTAATCTAAAAAAATTAACGTCACATATACGAAAACATATTAAGTAATATCCAAAACCACATAGTAATATCCAAAATATATTGAAATAAAAATTATCATTTACCGATTTAATAAAAATAAATAATATATAATATAATTTATTAATTATTATATATATACGGGTACGGGGCGGGACGGGGAGTGTGGTACCCGTCCACATCCCCGGTTTGAGCCAAATGGGGATCCCCGTCCCCGACCGAGACGGATGGACCGGGTTCCCCGATGGGTCGGGGCCAATTCCCACGCCTAATTTACATGACTTATGACTTTGATACCTAATTGTCTCATCAAGATATTGTGTTCTTGAATTTTGAAAGAAGAAAAAAATAAAGTAATTTTTGTATTTGTATTCTTGAGAGCGAAAGAAAACATAATGAAAGAAAGTATATTTTCATGTTCTTGAGTGGCAAGTGAAAGAAAGGGAAATATGTCATTTTTATAAATATATTCTTATTTATTTCATAGTGGAATGTAATTGATGGGTATATGTGTAATTTTATAAATATTTTTCATTTTTTTCCTTCCCTTCCTCCCACATTTGGAAGGAAAATTAGTATAATTTTATTTTTTTTCCGATTAAATTATAAATTTCATCCCTATGGTTATATGAAAATTTGAATTGGGTCCCTAGGCGAAATAATTACATGTATGGTCACCATGGTTTCACCTTTTTTCCCGATTAAATTACAAATTTCACTTTTGTGAAGATAGTCTATAGATGTTTTATTTGATAGATCTCAACAAAGATCACTTTTTTTTCTTGTTTGATTGTTGCAACCATGTTTCAAAAAAAAATTCAGGTTCGATTGTTAAAAGATTTGATAGGATAGCTTGGTTTCTGCTTCTAGCTTGTCGATATATATATATATATATATATATATATATATATATATATATATATGCAAATTGAGAAGATTAATAGAATGTGATATACTTAAAATTTAAGAAGTATGGATAAGTTGTATTAAATGGTTGATGATGGAAAAAAAAACTATGAATAGATTAAAGAAAATAACATATTCAAGGTTAGGAGAATATTTTGATGTATCAAAGTATCAATCAGCCAACCCGTACGATTTGGGTTGGATTGTGTTGCACTTTGATTTGGGTTGGGTTAGATTGAGTTGAGATTTTTTATAACACAAACATTATGTTGGATTGTTCATATGTATTCAACACGACCAAACCAACCATGATCACCCTACCTATATTATATAAATTATTTCAAAGATCACATAATAGTATCTAGTAATTATAAAACAATAAATATGTTATTTATTATTATTATTATTATTATTATTAGGGTAAAATCGTAAAATAACAATCTACTTTCATAAAATTATTTATTATAGTATTGCACTTTCAGTTTTTCTTATTACAACAATGTACTTTCAAACTATTTTTTATTAGGACATTGTACTTTGAAAAATTTACCCATTATAGCATTAGGTAACCTTTTGATTTAAATTTACCATTATATCAGGTTTCTATGCCACATCATTGTCCATGTAGGCTGTCCACATGTACTATAGTGATGTGACTTTCTTACTACATCATTGTACTTTCAAAACTATTTTATTATAAAATTTACTAGTACTTATTAAATACTGTATTTTCAATTCTAATATTTAGATATTTTACATTTTATTTAGTAAATATATTGAATGAATTAAAAAAATTCTAAATTATTCATTAATATACTAGTATCAACAAAACTAGTATAACACAACTTATCTTGCTAATATTTTATAAAAAAAATATGTGTTTTTTGAAAAAAAAAGAAAATAAGAATTGTTTTTTTTTTACCAAAAAATATTATCTTTTAAAGAATATATTATATTTGTTAAAAAACTTTTACTTGACGTATAAATATATTAAATTAATTAGATTTTTTTGAATTATTTATTAATATAACAATATTAAAATATTATAGATAACGATTTATTTCGTTAACATTTTAAGGAGAACTTTAAAATATATGTATTTATTTGAACAACATAAAATAAGAAAAGATACATTTTTTACAAACAAAATATATCTCGAAAATAATGTTTCATATTTATTTATAAATATTTTACTCTAAGAATATTTAATTTTCATGCAACTTAATAAGTAAAAGTCAAAAAAATGTTTTTTTAGATTATAGCAATGAAAAATAAAAATCACTAATAATAATTTGAAATAGGTTTTTATTTTTATTTTAGTTAAGTTATCAAAATGACATTGTCATCCACATCACCTCATTAAAACACACAAGAAAAAAAAGTCAAAGAGTTAACCGGTTTAAAAGGTAACAAGTTACCCATTGTTATTATGGGTAGATTTTTTAAAGTACGATGCCTTAATAAAAAATAATTTAAAAGTACATTGTTGTAATAAAGAAAAACAAAAATAAAATACTATAAGAAGAAAATTTATGAAAGTAAGTTACTATTTTAATGATTTAACCCTTATTCTTATTCTTATTCTTATTCTTATTCTTATTATTAAAAATGTTTTTAGTGTGCGTTTGGAGTTAAAAACAATTACTGTTCAATCGACCCATTACGTTTAATGTTTTTAATGGTTGAGTTAAGCATGGTCTATCGACAAATTTATCTTTTTCAAAATATTGTTACCGCACAAGTGTGTAAAACATTAAACTAGACTACTACCCCACCCCCTAACTAGAGGTAGTCTTTTTCGAGCTTGAGAAAGACACGGTGCAAATTTAACCTATTTTGGTGGTCCTACAAATTTAATATAACAAACCCAAAATCTTGTTTGATAGGCTTGAGAATTTTTTTTACTTAAAAAAAACGTATGTAGAATTGTAAACTACATAAAACCGTATAAAATACACGATTTTCTTTCCAACTTTTAAAAAAAATCGATTGATACATAAGTGATAGTGGAAAACGGAATAGGTACACTAGGTGACCACAGTGGCGATGCAAATGCACACCGACACTATGATCTCTAGAAGTAATAAGGTGGTAGTATACCAAGATCATTTCCACAGG